TAACATTAGTTGACAAGAAAGCGAACAAACATCATTATCAGCAAGATGAACAATATTTTCATGAAAATCAATCCTGTTCATAAATTTTTCCATAAGGAAACAAACAACAGTTGTTGTTTTTTTTAAACACACACACAAACTGTCTTGTTCTTTCTTGTTGACACGAGGAATAACAAACCTTGCAACAAACCAAATTATGATAGTGTAATATGATCAGAAATTTCAGCTCTCACCACGAATGGGAAAGCCCATTTAATAATGAACAATTTCAATGGTTAAACATAATTGGTTTGCATTATTCCGGGGTCTGGGAAGTCCCCAAGGCCTTGTCCCTGATCGCTGAAAACGTATGAATCAAATAAAATAGTCCGTATTAACTGAATAAACAAATGTATGAAGAAACTTAGTTGTGGCACGTACACATAAAAGTCACGGTAAATAAGAACAAGGCACACGGTTGTATGTCATTAGTTTGTGACGTGACGTGGACAAAAGGAAGTGTTTATGGTATTCTGTTTGGGGAAGCAGCTGTAGCAACATGCTGGAGGAGAAGACAATTTATCACTTCATAAAATTAAGTGAACTTAAGAAATCGTTTAGGAGACCAAAAATTTAAAAAGACAATTTAAAATCATTTGCATAGGTTGATTAAATGCATTTAAAGTGAGGAGTAATGGGATGAAAGATTGATTTCTCTAACATTTTTCGTTCACAGCATTGAACCACACAACTCGGTGATTGTTAGTACATAATTTCGTATGGGTCTAAAACTTTCAAAACCAAACAATGAAACAGGGGACACAAACAAGAAAATTAGCTGCTGATATTATAATAATCAATCAGATCTCTGAGTAGTGTTTCTCTCCCTTGCTAGAACTCTTAGCTAAACAAGTTATGAATGTTTGGACTGTAATTTTGTTTTCTGTGACCTCTATATAAACTAGGCAGGAATTTTATTTTTTAAACATCACTTTTGTGAGGACAGTGTGCTTTCTTGCTTGATATCTACTATGTGAGATTATTAACAAAGGAGGACAATGTCTTCTAGGTGCAGGCTTTTATGGGACAGGCGGGTTCCATGGAGTCCGAGGCTGGAAGCCTTTGCTACCGTCTGGACCACGAGGGTTGCGGACAGCAGTCACTCTGCTGGCGCTGTTGTCCTCTGTGATACTTTTGAGGCGGCTGAGAAGACGTTCTGGACGGCGTGTATCCCTGTAGAACCAAATGGACAAGTCTCAGAAGCACATCAACATTTTATCACACAGCTTTAAGCTTTTCTTCTTCTCGGTTTGATGTTCAAAGCGCATTTAGCACATTCTGTTGTGGTATGCAACTAGGCTGCGACATCTGCACCTTTTAGTCCAAATACCTGACTTCAGTAAATTCCTAATTAGTAGTCTTTTATGATCTGATTTTTTTTTTTAAGTAAGCAAGTAAAGAACCCTTTATTTAGCAGTTCAGGACATATAGGGTTAGGCTAATACTTTATAGACCAATCGGCACTTGAGGGGTGATGTGGTCAGTATCACTTTACTAACCAGGACTTTTACCTGGTACTCATTTGAGGCTGAGTTGACCTGTGAGGCAAGGTTATTTTTTTTGTTAAGAAGAAAAAATACCAATACCCTCCGTATGTGATCCCATCACCTTCAGATCCACAGGCAAGCATCTAGCAAACATACCATGGCAGCTCCCCATTATTTAATAGCAGTGGGTTTACCACCCCCCCCCCCCCCCCAATCAATAATTAATCAGATTTTATCTCCACAGGGAAGGTTGGTTGGAAAGGATCTTCAACAGGCTCTGTCTCTTGTCTTGGCTGTACACTCTCTCAGACTGCTGTCTGCCCATCTCTTGATGTTTATCTCTCACTTTTATCACTGACTACCTCTTGCACTCTTGCCTTCATTTTTTCCCTGCAGAATGGTTGTACACTCTCTGACAGTTGTCTTTCCATCTTTACAGTAAAAACTTGTAGTGGTTACAGGTTATCTGTTCAGATTCCTGACTTGACTGTACTGAAATCCCAGTTTGGGTTCACTGTTCCATTTTGGGGAATATAAAAGGCCCACTGCCCCAGGCTCCTGGTTGAGAACTTGTTTTAGGATAACCACAGAGGGGTGTAAGTAGGGGCCACAGAGGGGTGTAAGCAAGGACCACAGAGGGGTGTAAGCAAGGACCACAGAGGGGTGTAAGTAGGGGCCACAGAGGGGTGTAAGCAGGGACCACAGAGGGGTGTAAGTAGGGGCCACAGAGGGGTGTAAGCAGGGACCACAGAGGGGTGTAAGCAGGGACCACAGAGGGGTGTAAACATGGACTACGGGGAGGTGTAAATAGGGCCACAGAAAAGGGTAAATATGGGTCAAATGGCGGTGTAAAAAGGGGCCACATGGAGGTGTAAATTGGGACACAGGAAGAAGTAAATTTGGACACGGAGGGGTAAATAGGGACCACAGAGAGGGGTAAATATGGGTCAAATGGCGGTGTAAAAAGGGGCCACATTTAGGTGTAAATAGGGACCACAGGAAGGTGTAAATAGGGACCATAAGGAGGTGTAAATAGACGCCATAGAGGTGTACACTGGGACCACAAGGAGGTGTGAATAGGGACCACAAGGAGGTGTAAATAGAGGTGTACATTGGGACCACAGGGAGGTGTAAAATGGGGCCATAGGGAGGTGTAAATAGGGGCCACAGGGAGGCGTAAATACGGTCCACAGGGATGTGTAAATAGGGGCCACAGGGTTGTGTAAATAGGGCAACAGGGAGGTTTAAATAGGGGCCACAGGGAGGTTTAAATAGGGACCATAGGGAGGTGTAAAAAGGGACCACAGGGAGGTGTAAATAGGACCATAAGGAGGTGTAAATAGATGCCATAGAGGTGTACACTGGGACCACAAGGAGGTGTGAATAGGGACCACAAGGAGGTGTAAATAGAGGTGTACATTGGGACCACAGGGAGGTGTAAAATGGGGCCATAGGGAGGTGTAAATAGGGGCCACAGGGAGGTGTAAATAGGGGCCACATGGATGTGTAAATAGGGGCCACAGGGTTGTGTAAATAGGGCAACAGGGAAGTGTATATAGGGCCACAGGGAGGTTTAAATAGGGACCACATGGAGGTGTAAATTGGGACCAAAGGGGGGTTTAAATTGGGACCATAGGGACGTGTAAATAAGGACTACAGGCAGGTGTAAACAGGGACCACAGAGTGGTGTAAACAGGTTCTGACCAGTATCAGCCTTGGCCCTGGTGCAACACTACATGCAGTTCAGTACCTCTGCATCCCATGTATAAATACAGCCTCTTATTCTTCTTTGTGTTCACCGGCCGTAAACTCGAGTGGAAGTTATAGCTGTTCGCCCACTTCTGAAGTTCAGTCTCATGCACATTCGTTTTACAGATCTGGCTTAGTTGTGTGCAGATTGTTCTTTCTCTGCCTCTCAGGCAGATGCACTCTGACTTGGAAAGAAACATTTCTAATTAAGCACTTTTTACGACATGCTTGCTGGGGGGTAGGGTCTATATTTCTCCCCCCCCCCCACACACACACAATGGCCCTGGAACCCTACGGGATCATAACATTACAAAAGGCTTCTTACGTAATCTTCCTAAGACTACAGGCCGAGTATTTTCCGTTTCTCTGATTCTGCACCAGGACAAACTCCACCTCGTCTCCAGGCTGAATGACTGCGCTGTCGTGAACCTCCGTCATGTGGAAGAACAACTTCTTGCCTTCTTCAGCTTCGTAGTTGATGAAACCGTACTGCAAGAAGAGAACACATACGTTACAAAAAGCTGAAATTGAATTACAAACATAATTCTGAACGCTGATATAACAGCCCTAACTCCTTACAGATTCAGTGTTCAGCTATGATTTTATCTTCCTCACTGTTCACTTGAGTGATGTCAGTGCACTGTGCCTGTTTACAGAATAGCTGCAATATTTGTGTCAAATATCTGATGTCAAAGGACATTTGTTGTCCGGATTAGCTTTCCCTGTTAAGTTTCGTGGGCCACTGCACAGCCTTACTGTTGTGCCGTCATCATTGCCTTGTGGTCTACACATGATGTCTCATATATAATTTGTAATTTAATTAAAACAGAGCAAGGGCAGGGGAAAACCATCCAAAAGTTAGGGGGAAAGGGTCTCTCAAATATAATTTATGCCAGCTACAGCAACAATCAAAATAAAGGTTCGAATCTGCATCTTTGCCAATTTTATCAAAACTGACTGACTCCTGAGTCAACCCACATTAAAAGGGGGTACCAGCTAATGTCCTGTAAAATAAGAGTTGTCGGCGTGATTAGTGTACTTCTACAACATATAATTATACTGTTAGTCAACAATTAGTAAAGAGGCAAAGAGTGACTTGCTGTGAGAGGTTAGTTAGTCAATTAAATATTGTTTTTATGCACTTACCCAGAGCTCTGAAATATCTTGACACAATTTATCCACAGTGTGGTTGCACCATTTATGCACAGTCAATATGAAAGCATTAGTTTTCTTCCAACACAAGATAGTTTGCACCTGACAACTGTCAATATTCTCTAGATATGGGTTCTAAATTACCTGTTTGTATTTTCCCCAAAAGTAAGATTTCTTCATTTAAAGTAGAAAAAGAATAAACAGCGAGTTCCCAAAAATCCAAACTACTAACTAGAAACAGTGACATACACATCACAACACGACTGTCTCCCGTGAATTAAAATGAAAACTGCTGTAATCTAACAACAAAGTTTGAAAATTTTGTATATCCACTTCACAATATCCGCTTGTCAATTTGTAATACGAATACGTTTAGAACACAGGACTTTGTAAGCATATTAAAATGTCACACAATGCAACATGGAAACGCTTCCAGTAACCAATTTTCGAGTGGACTCCGCCGAAATGTACCGTGATTTAGTCAGAAGGACCTATATACAGAAGGACCTGGGAAAAAGCCACGAGTGACAAGGGCTGTAACTCAAAGACATAAGATAGAATAAAAGTACATACCTGTCCCTTGACAGAGTCAACCTTAGCTCTGATGAATTTACGCAAGGCTCCAATGTTAACTGCTCTAAGGCTACCGTCTTTCTTGGCACGTGCCACTTGGAATCTAACCACATCGTCCTTCTGTAGGAAATCTCTTTTGTCCGCCAGACTGGTGATTCCGTACGGATACGGCTCATCCACATCGTTGCCGTCTACGAGGAACAAATTATAATAAGTGCGGCTCAGAAGTTAGTGAATACATTTAACAATTTGGTGATTGTCACAATATTAAGAGGCATACAGAGGGAGCCAGTGCTGATAAAGATGCCACCAATGAGTTTATTACTGAGTTTGAGAAATTTGTTTCCCAAAAAGATTTTATATTAGGCCTGTTTTGAAAGAAAATGCTTAACAGGCTCTACATTACACAAGAGGTGAAGGCATCTTGTTTTGAAAGAAAATGCCTTACAGGCACTCCTCTAATTCACAAGAGGTGAAGACATCTTGTTCTGAAAGAAAATGCCCAACAGGCACTATATTACACAAAAGGAAAGGTCATCATGTTTTGAAAGAAAATGCCAAACAGGTTCTATAATTCACAAGAGGAGAAGGCAGTGCCAGGGCAAAAGCCGGTGAAAGACAGGCTCTCTCTTGTTCTGTGACAATGAAAGTGGGAATTGCAAACTGGAGCCCCTACATCTTCTTCTTCCTCTCAGCATTCACCGGTGTAAACCCTGGCAGAAAGTTCTAGCTGTTTGTTCACCTTCGGACTCCAGTCTTGTCCTAGAACCTGAATATTGCATGCACATCTGCTTTACAGATCTGGCTTACTTGTGTGCAGACTCTTGGTTCCTTGTCAGGCAGATGCACTCCAACTTAGAAGGATGCCCCAATATAGTCGAATCCTATGACATGCTTGTTGGGGAGGCAAGTGGGTTTATTCGTTTTACCCACAATGGGGCCCCAAACCTACATGGGGAGAAGCCTCTACTGATTAACCACTTCAAGGGCCTTTGAGAAACATTACATACAGAAAATGCAGTTACCTGTGATGTGGAGGTTAAACAGCAAGATTAAAATAATACATTATAAAAGGTACTGTTTTACTGTTTGTTTCTGGGCAAGAGCAGCCAACTCTGTTCTGAAATATCCCATGATTTTCTCAAGAATTGTTTACAAATAATGGCGCAACACAATCTGGCAATCAAACCATGATTTTGAGACCAATCATGTGCCTACGGTGGTGTAATACAATCTGGCACGGTGGTGTAATACAATCTGGCACACAAACCATGATTTTGTGACCAATGATTAGCTCACAATGCTGTAACACAATCTAGCATACAAACATTTCTACCCACACTGAAACAGAGGATACAATATCTAGAATTTACCGTCATCCATGGCCTGTACTAGTCCACTGTACTCCTCCTGTTCAGTGTTCACGATTCTCATTGGACGGATTATACGGCCTTGAAGTGTACCCTTATCTCGAACAATTTCCTGTCCAATTGAAAAAAAATTCACAAAATAGGCAACTTTAAATTTATCAAACGTTCTAATTATACATTTTCTGTCCTGTCTGTGAGTTTCTGGAATGCCAATGAATCTCGCTTAATTTTCACATACTGAAACTGTTACTTGCAACTGTAAAATAATTACTAGCTACTGTCAAGCCAAAATACATTTTAATATGTGCTACTTACAGCTGTGATGTTTTACGTTTGATGCTTACATCTGTGACATTTTATACGTGCTACTTACATTACGTTATTCATAAATTCTGCTCAAAATTTGTATTTTATGTGCGCTGCTTACATCTGTCATTTTATAGTTCTTCTTACATCTAGGATATTTTATAGGTGCTACTTTCATCTGTTATTTTATGTGTGCTACTTTCATTTATATTTTATATGTGCTTACATCTGGGGTATTTTTTGTGTGCTGCTTACATTTGTGATATCTTATATGTACTGCTTATGTCTGCTATTGTATATGAACTGCTTACATCTGTTTTACTTAACTTTATGTGGTACATGTTTGTTACATGTGTGTGTTACTTCAGATATTTTAATAAAACTGTTTCTTTAGGTGTGGTATAATTGTGTTACTTTATATGTGCTACTTACAAATGTTATTTATATGTGATACTATTTATATGTGCTAATTACAACTGTTATTTTATGTGTGGTACTCACAACTATTACTTTAAATGCATTACACCTTATTATTTAACATGCGCTACTTACATCTGGTGCTATTGTACATGCGCTACTTATATCTGGAACTATTTTACAGCTGCTACTTACATCTGGTGAATTTTACATGCACTACTTACACCTGATACTATTTAACATGCTCTACTTACACCTGGTACTATTTTACATGCACTACTTTAATCTGGATCTATTTTACATGCACTAATTACATCTGGTGCTATTTTACATGCACTACTTATATCTGTTGCTATTTTACATGTGACATTTACATTTGCTATTTTACAGGTGCTACTTACATCTGGTGTATTTTACATGCATCTGGTGTTATTTTACATGTGCCACTTACATCTGATGCTTTTTTACAGGTGCCAACTACATCTGGTGTCATTTTACATGTGCCACTTACATCTGATGCTTTTTTACAGGTGCCAACTACATCTGGTGTCATTTTACATGTGCCACTTACATCTGATGCTTTTTTACAGGTGCCACCTACATCTGGTGTTATTTTACATACGCTACTAACATCTGGTGTTAGTTTGCATATGCTACTTACATCTGGTGCTATTTTACATATGCTACTTACATCTAGTGTACATGCGCTACTCTTTTTCTTCTTATTGTTCACTGGCGGTTAACTCCAGTGGAAAGTTCTGGTTATTCGACCAATCACTGGACTTTGGACTAGATCTAGAACCTCAAATTTTGTGTGCACATCCATGTGAAAAATCTGGCATATTTGTAAGTAGATTTTTGAGTGTGGTGGGTGGGTGGGGGGTGGAAGGGGGTGCAGTGGATCTATTCTTTGTTCTCCAAAATGAAGCCCTGTAACCCACATAGGGAAACCATAGCTACCAACATCTGGTGTTCTTCTTCTTCTTCTTCTTTGCGTTCACCAGCTGTAAACTCTGGCAGAAAGTTCTGGTTGTTCGTCCACTTCTGGACTACAGTCCTCTTCCATAACTTGAGTGTTGCATGTGCATCCATTTTACAGAATTGACACATGTGTGTGCAGACTGTTGGTTCCTTGCCTCTTAGGCAAATGCACTCCAACTTTGAAGGAAGCTTCCAATTAGTCTACTCTTACGACATGCTTTTGGGTAGGCAGAGGGTCTATTCTTGTTTTCCCTATAATAGGGCCCGGAACTCACATGGGGGAATCTTGTATTCAAGCCAAGAAAGTTAGTTACCTTCATGTGTTATTTACGTGTGTTTTCTAAATGTGTTAGTTTAAACCTGCCGGAATGTGATACTTACGTCTGCTGAAATGGTGAGCTTGTTGAGCTTGCGGATATTCTCGGCACTGACCTTGCTGCTCTTTCTGGCTAAAGTATACTCCACCTCGTCACCGAGTTCAAGGTCATTTGTGTCCCCGTTAAATGAACTGTGGAAAGGGCACTGAATTATCAGTCCATGGCATCGGAGCGCTGGATTATGTCTAGATCTTTACAGCACTGAATTGCCTATCTATATTTTTACAGCACTGCCCTGTCAATCTATGGTAAAACATTATATAAAAACTTAAGAGTTCATCATGTAGAAGGTCCTCTGCAGAATGTCCCTCTCATCGTGGTCTGCCTGAAAGAAACTCTGTCTCTCTCCAGCCCTCCCGTCTGGTGTACTTTCATTTCCAAGTAGTCACTTATATCCTGTGCCCATCTTCGTACTGGTTGGCCCCTGCCCCTACATCCTGGTATCATGCCTTGTATTGTTTGTTTTTTCCAGTTCACCGTGGAGCTTAATATAACCAAACTATTTCAGCATCTGAGACAATGCACTGTTTTTTTAGCAAATCTTTCTTGATGTTCAGATCTTTTAAAATGTCAGTTTTTCTTCTTTGTTCATGGTATTCTGAGAAACTTTCTAAAGCATTTCTGTATAATTTATATTTTCTTTCTTGAGGACTCAAGAGATGCATAACAATATATATGTACAGCAATCAATACAACATACAATACCTCAGAAATCAAGAAAACTAAAACACAATGTATGGCCAACCCAATCTCTAACAATTATCAGGTCCCGCAATAGTTAGCAGAGGGGTTGAGAACACAAGACTGATCAAACAGAATCTGTCAATCTACTGAAAAGCACTAAAATAAATCTGCAATCTAACACGGATTTGTGGGCCTTCCAAAAGGCCTTTAACCATTTCACCCCGAGAAGGCTAAAGCAAATCACTTCCGGTAGTGACAAAGCTCCTTTCAGTTGTTACAAAGCCAATTTTGGTTGTGACAAAGCCCCTTCCAGTTTTGACAAAGCCCCTTCCGGTTGTGACAAAGCCCCTTTTGGTTGTGACAAAGCCCCTTTTGGTTGTGACAAAGCCCCTTTTGGTTGTGACAAAGCCCCTTTTAGTTGTGACAAAGCCCCTTTTAGTTGTGACAAAGCCCCTTTTTGGTTGTGACAAAGTCCCTTCCAGTTGTGACAAAGCCCCTTTTGGTTGTGACAAAGCCCGATAAATGCCGATATATGGCAATTTCTGCAGTGACCTGTTTTTGAAAAGTGTGGTTAAAATCCATTAGTCCTATATGTTGCTGTGTGGTGTTTTAATACGCCAGGATATGAAAACAGTAATTTAAAAATCCCTGTGGTGGTTCTGAGACCCAGCTGTGGGGAAAACCAGAATAGACCCACTATGACTCTCCACCAAGCATGTCCTAGGAGCCAACTAATTGGCGGGATCTTTTGAAGTCGGAGTACATCTGCCTGAGAGGCAAAGTACCAAGAGTCTGCATACAAATAAGCCAGATCTGGGAAACGCAAGTGCACGCAACATTCAGGTTCTGGAACAAGCTCAAAGTCTGAAAGTGGACGATGGCCCAAATTGTATACCGCAGTCAACAGCTGGGGAATGTAAAGAAGAAGAAAAGTAACTAACTAAAAATAACATTTACAGGGGTTTCCTTATGACCCCAATGACTTTTTGAGGAAGCCAAACTCTTCCACAAACCCCACTTTGTTGTTTATTTATTACCCTTTTATATATCTGAATAACTCCCACACAAAAACACAATTTTTGTTTTTTGTTTTGTTTTTTAAATTTAGTTTTAAATAATTTATTAGCCAGCTGGGTAATGCGGTTTTTGTTAATGAATTTTTTTTTAAATTCCTTTGAGTTTATGGGGAGTTGCCGTGGCCGAGCGGCTAGACGCTCACCGTGGATCGGAAGGTCGTGGGTTCGCTCCCTGGCGGAGCCGGGCTTTTTCCAAAAATGACCTTGGCTCCCAAGTCGACCCAGCCTTTTGTGGGTACCGGGTGCAGTCCCGGGAAAGTAAAGGCGGTCGGCGTGATGCTGACCACATCACCCTCCTGTGTCGATTGGTCTATAAAAATAAAGGTCTAGCCCTATATGCCCTGCACGCCTAAAGGCGTGGAAAAGGGTCCTTTACTTCACTTTTTTACTTTAAGTTTATGACACCTCTTTTTAACATTAAATTGGAAGAAGCAATAACGAGAAAGAAAAACATGTGTCAATACACCAGGGCAGAAGAGGAAATATCAAAGAAGAAACTATTTCTACACCTTAGATACAGCTGGCATGCTGTGCTGTGGTTTAATGTTAGGCTACGATATCTGCACCATTTGGCCCGACACATCTTGTTTCAGCAAACCCCTCAATTAGTTGTCTTTTACAACATGTTTGTTAGAGCGCAGTGGGTCCACTTCACCCTGCAGCCTCAACTTGGGGCCCAAGAACCTATACAGTGACAGAAACCTCTAGTAAACCTATACTGTGAAAGAAAACCTCTAGTAAACCTATACCGTGAAAGAAACCTCAAGTAAACCTATACCGTGGGGGGGGAAAACGTAGTAAACCTATACCATGAAAGAAACCTCAAGTAAACCTATACTGTGGAAAAAAAACTGTAGTAAACCTATACCATGAAAGAAACCTCAAGTAAACCTATACTGTGGAAAAAAAACTGTAGTAAACCTATACCATGAAAGAAACCTCAAGTAAACCTATACTGTGGAAAAAAAACTGTAGTAAACCTATACCATGAAAAAACCTCAAGTAAACCTATACCGTGGAAAAAAAACGTAGTAAACCTATACCATGAAAGAAACCTCGAGTAAACCTATACCGTGGAAAAAAAACTGTAGTAAACCTATACCGTGAAAGAAAACCTGTAGTAAACCTATACCGTGAAAGAAAACCTGTTGTAGTAAACCTATACTGTGAAAGAAAACTCAAGTAACCCCATGTGCTGTGACTGGCGGGAGCCAAACAGATGGTCAAGATCTCTCTAGATTTCGACAGCTAGAAGCTAAATTATGTCAGGTCCGTCCAGTACAAGACAACAGCAAGCACAGGCACTGCCAGATTTACCTGAAATGAAAGAAAACTTCCTTCTCATGATCAGCTGTTTCGATGAAGCCGTAATTCTCCTTCAGAGTCGCGATATAGCCCAAACATCGGCCGGCTATGTTACGAAGCACCACTTTCACCTTCACAGCTTCTTTCTTGTTTGTCGACTTGGCTTCCCCAATCTGAAACTCAACCTGATGTGACAGCAACACATGCATTCAAAACCACATATATTATCTTAACAACAAACAATAATATTTTGTTTGTTAAATGTCCTCTTGTTCATTCTCTTCATTTGCTGTTGTTCTAGTATTCTGTTTTGCCCCAAGAAGCACACACAAAAACCTGACACTTCTGAACTGTCCAGTTCCCTGCAAATGTAACTTTTCCTACTGTGACCTGTTTAAATATGTGTATAATTAATGCAAGTGGCTGAGCTCACACCTGTGCAAACTATAAGGAGGTCAGGATATGAATAAATTAACGATAGCATTTAGAGCAGTTCTCCTATGTGCTAAATGGCTTTTTAAAGCCAAAAAACATCAGATTTTTTTTTAATGGACATTATTATAAACTATAAACAGAGCCGTAGGGTTTGTGCTTTGTGCGATGCTCTTGCAAGTGGCTAACAATTCTGTGGAGAGAGACAGAGATCAGTTTCAGACTTCACTGTTCGATTTGCGAGTGCAGATGTTCAGAGATTCCTGAGTGTAGTTACTGGAACTATGGAGTTGCATGTTTTGTGCTGCACGTGCTCAGCATATCCATTTTCAGCAAAGCCCTAAACAGTCAACTTTTAAAGCATGCTATTGTGGTGGTGATAGTGGGGCGGTCTTTCCATTTTCTCTCCAAATGGGGGGCCCCGGAACCCACAAGGGAGTTATGACCTACAACAGTTGGCCAATGACGGGGTCCCATGAAGAGATGTCTTGTGATCAGGTATACTTCCTGTGCGGGTTTCAGGGCCCCCATTGGCTTGTGGGGTGTAGACCCACGGCTCATTAACAAGCACGATGTAAAGAGCGACTAATCAGGGATTAGCTGATATCATGTGTGCTGGGCTAGATTGTACACAAAAATATAATGTGGCCATTATAAGGAGGGATGTAAAAGAAGAATAAGGAGAAGAAGAAGATTAGAAACATAAGACAACCCATGGATATCTGGTAACTTATTACATCAGTACCCACAAGAGGAAGCAGACGCAGAGATACAAAAGACAGTTCAGAACTCACATCCCTACACAATAGATGGCATGTTCTAAGCAACTTGATCACTACTCCCTATTGTTTGGGCTCCAGTGTAGGGAAAACAAGGAGAGACCCACTGCCTCCCCAACAAGCATGTCGTAGGAGTCGACTGACTGGGGGCATCTTTTGAAGGAGTACATATGCCTGAAAGGCCAGGAACCAATGGTTTTTATAGAAATTAGCCAGAACTATAAAAGCGATGTGCATGCAACACTCAGGTTCTGGAACAAGACTAAAGTCTGCAGGTGGATGAACACCCTTAACTTTTCTAAAGAGTTTACAGCCGGTAAATGTTAAGAAGAAGAAGGTTACAGGGAAATTTTTTTTCAACTGTGCCGCTCCACAATTGAGACTGGCTTCAATGTATGTAGTGCTGACTACAAGAAAATTATGAGGTGAGGCCTTATTCATTTCCAGGGTACAATTCTCTTACCACTGTCTGAAAGCCATGAGAACAATTTTTTTTTTAAAGTGCCCAACTCGGGAATTGAAGCCTGCTAAACATCGAGGACTGCATTGTAAAACGATTTCCTCTAACCTCACACAGGCACATACCTTGTCTCCAAAGTGAGGCACACTGTTCTGGTCTGTCACTTCCTTCAGATAGTACGGAATCTGTTGAATTGTTCCTTCGTAATCGTAGATTATGTTGCCAGGCTCCCCATCCTTGTTTTTACCTGCAACACACCAGCAATCAGATTCTACAAATGTCTGTGTCACTTATTCATGATCATTTCAACAGGTATCAGGTAATCACAGTTCCAACTTCACAACAAAGGGTCACCCCACATTATTAATATCCTACTCAAACCGGGGAAATCCACAGGTCACAGGACAGTCTAATATTTCAGGGGGTGGTAGACTGGCTACATGCAGTCGTTAGACCTAGGCTCCATGCAGTCGTGGGTCCTGGGCTGCAGTCCGTAGGTGGGTTGGGGGTTAGGGCCAGTTCTAGATGTTTTGGGGTCATTAAAGGCATCAGAAAGCAGGGAAACCCAGTCTTACCACCCTGTAAAATGTTGGACTGTCCTGTGATGTCATCTGGAGTGAGATATTAATAAAGAACCCCTCCACCCCCCTCCAAAAAAACAAGAATGCCCATCACTATTCCTTGTGATTTCATCTGACACAGATGAAATCTCAGCAAAATAGCAATAAACAGATATTACATGCATATGGCAGCCACCAGATGTGCCAACACATACACATACAATCCAGTGGCAGAAATGCAATTCATCATTCATTTCATCATCATGCAATTCATCATCATGCAATTCATCATCTCCTGTATCTTAGAACATATTTGAAGGCCCCGGTGTCTTAGGACATACCACTTTAATGTTCAATATTTGAAGGCCCCCGTGTCTTAGAACTTACCACTTTATTATCCCACTGTCGAGGGCTTCCATTGCTTACCATATACAAATTCAAAACCCTTACAGTTAAAGGCTCAAGTATCAGAATATACCACTTCAAAGCCTCACAGCTAAAGATCAAAACAACAAACCAGATTTTCACCTTGAGCATAAGCACAAACACTGGATCACCCACCTTGATTTTTATGTGTAGACGGCTCTTTGTCAATGGTGCCAATGTAGACAGGAGGAAGAATATTGATAAATGATACCGACCCCTTGTTGAGGTGTTTGATTCTGGTTGCAACTTGGCGAGTTGGTTGTGATGCATCCTGGACATGAAATAGGAAAACAGTCATTGTCTTCATCTATTAATTTTTCTAGGAGGTTTACACAGTGGAGTGGTTAAGCCACCACTGTAGTGGTCAAGCCATAGGTGGAGTTTCAAGCCATTTGTGGAGTGGTCAAGAGGTTAAGTGGTCAAGATATTTGTGGAGTGGTCAAGAGGTGGAGTGGTCAAGATGTTGAGTGGTCAAGACATTTGTGGAGTGGTCAAGAGGTTGAGTGGTCAAGCCAATTTTGTAGTGGTCAAGCTATTTCAGTCAAGCCATTTGGGTAAAGGTCAAGACATTTTGCAATGGTCAAGCCATCTGCTTCAGGTTCTGAAGGGCCTGGCTTTATTTCACGAATAGAGTTGGCTGCAATGGATTTCCAACATTCTATGCTGCCTGTCATGGTTTTACATTCTGACTGGCTGCTGTTCGTTCAGTTATATTATCTTCCCTTTTGTGTCGCTGTCTACCAATCCTACTTACCTGCCTTTGACTTCCCCTCCGGTACAGTCTTTAGTGTGGTTGATATGTTTTACCTGACTCTTTCCTTTGTGAGCCCTTTTTTCCCTTCCCAGCTTCTTCAGAAGCTCTGTATTCAGTTTTTTTCTCTTATGCACAATTCCTGAGATTCAATTTAACTTTTCATTGCTTGTTCAGTGTCAACATACTTGCTGCTTTCATCTTCAGCGTCTTTCTTCTTGTTCTCCTTCTGTGTAGGTCTTTTGAAAAGTGGTTGACACACTCTGTTGTTTTATACAGTTGGGCTGCGATATCTGCACATTCCGGCCCAAAACATCAAATTTCAGCAATTGCTCAATCGGTCACCTTTTATACTGTGTTTGCAGAGGGACAGTAGGGCTATTTTTTTCTTCTCCAAAGTGCAAACCAGAAGCTATTTGGGGGATTTTCTTCCATATCTTCGCTCCAAAAGTTCTTATCTAAACTAAACCATTAATTATGAAAATATTGCTTACATAATAAGTAAATAAAGAATCACTAGAAAATCTGATCTTGCTATAACCACACACACAAAAACACTATAAAGAAAAATTTTAATTGTGTGGCCATGGCAGACCTTCAAAGATAAGAGAAGTCCATGGCAGATCTTCAAGGATAAGAGAAGTCCATGGCAGATCTTCAAGGATAAGAGAAGTCCATGGCAGATCTTCAAGGATAAGAGAAGTCCATGGCAGACATTTGAAGATAAGAGAAGTTCATGGCAGATCTTCAAGGATAAGAGAAGTCCATGGCAGACATTTGAAGATAAGAGAAGTCCATGGCAGATCTTCAAGGATAAGAGAAGTCCATGGCAGACCTTCAAAGATAAGAGAAGTCAATGGCAGATCTTCAAGGATAAGAGAAGTCCATGGCAGATCTTCAAGGATAAGAGAAGTCCATGGCAGATCTTCAAGGATAAGAGAAGTCTATGGAAGACATTTGAAGATAAGAGAAGTCCATGGCAGACCTTCAAAGATAAGAGAAGTCCATGGCAGACCTTCAAAGCTAAAGGAGAAGTCCATGGCAGATCTTCAAGGATAAGAGAAGTCCATCGCAGACCTTCAAAGAAAAGAGAAGTCTATGACAGACCTTCAAAGATAAGAGAAGGCAATGGCAGACCTTCGAAGATAAGAGAAGTCCATGGCAGACATTTGAAGATAAGAGAAGTCCATGGCAGACCTTCAAAGATAAGAGAAGTCCATGGCAGACCTTCAAAGATAAGAGAAGGCCATGGCAGACCTTCAAAGATAAGAGAAGGCAATGGAAGACCTTCGAAGATAAGAGAAGGCAATGGCAGACCTTCGAAGATAAGAGAAGTCCATGGCAGACATTTGAAGATAAGAGAAGTCCATGGCAGACCTTCAAAGATAAGAGAAGTCCATGGCAGACCTTCAAAGATAAGAGAAGTCCATGGCAGATCTTCAAAGATAACAGAAGTCCATGGCAGATCTTCAAGGATAAGAGAAGTCGATGGCAGACCTTCAAAGATAAGAGAAGTCCATGGAAGACCTTCAAAGATAAGAGATGTCCATGGCAGACCTTTAAAGATAACAAGACAGACTTTTAAAGATAAGAGAAGTCCATGGCTGACCCCTGCAAACATTAGAGATCCACAGGTCTTAGCAAGTGTATTTACCTAGGTTTTCCCAATCCGTTGAAGGTTAACCTGGGAGTCATCTTATAACATGTGTTTACAATATTTCTTATACAGGGGAAAATATGATAATTAGAAACCACTAATCTAAAACATGGCGTCTGCTTGCCTGGTCCACAGTAAACTGCAGTTCGTCCTGCAGGCGGGGGCTATAGGTGAGGTCCATGAATTCGCTGAAGTGAAAGAACATGCGTGCATCCCGGTCAGCACAGTAGATGAAACCGTAGCCATCCTTCAGCACAGCTACCACACCCTGCCAGATTTTGTCAAATATTATTTCAGTGTTTTTTTCTTTAAACAACAATAACACAAATAAATAAACAGTATGACCATGTCCTTTTTCTTCTTTCTGCCTACCCTTAAAACGGCAGTTAATATGTTGTATTGTGGTTTACAGGTCGGCACCTTTCGGCCCAACATGTTTTTTCAGCAAATCGTTAATATTCACCATTTCTGATATGCTTCTTAAGTGGCTGTGTGTCTATTATTTTTCACCCCCAAAAAAAATTCCCCACAAGGGGATTACCACAGTTGAATCACAATAGCTTCCAGATGAAAAAATATTATGATCAAAAATTAAAACATGAAAGCAAATTCATAGAAAAAAAGAGTGAATGCAGCTAGTGATTCACAGGTTGAGTTTTCCCCTCTGTGAACCACAGCCAGTTAGGACAGTGGTTCTCAACCTTCCTAATGTCGTGACCCTTCAATATAGTTCCTCAAGTTGTGGCGACCCACAAATATAAATTATTTTAGTTGCTACTTCATAACCAGTAAACATCTGTTTTTTGATGGTCACAGACGACCGCTGTGAAAGGGCCGTTCTACCCTCGAAGAGGTCGCGACCCACAGGCTGAAATAACTAGGTCTATCAGTCCAATACGTCTGATTTCAGCAAGTATCTAATTACTCATCTTTAAACTCTTTCAGTCATGGGGGTTTACCATCTGAGGACCAAGGGGTGGCGTGAAAGACATATCATTGGTGCATCATGCGTTTTTTGGGTTTCTACGTAGAACCTATGAACGCAGGATGTATTCCTTGGGATTGAAGTATGTTATGCTTGTCACCGGACAGTGGGTCTACGGCCCAAATGGCTAAATCCCAACTTCAGTGTCAATGGATGCAATCCAAGCCTACATTATTTTCAAGACAAACAGGACAAAAATGGTAAACAACTGTCATTAGTTGTTTGATCATGTTATCTAGCACCAACTTTCTAACCCCCCCCCCCCCCCCCCCCCCAAAAAAACTGGGGCTCCGGAACAAAGCAAAAATTCTCCTCAATGTTCCCACACTATAAGATATTGCTGGCAATAATGAAATAAACTCACTCACTCTCCCTCTCTCTGAGGGCCAAATGTTCAAGTTTCAAACACAGAAACATGCAGTGACGTAGGCCCACTTACAGATTCTCTTGTTTCCCCCGTGTATTCGAAAGTTTCCTCCAACAGGGCAATGTTGGTGGCCCGTTGGAGTTTGTCACGTCTGTCTGTCGCAATCTGGAACTCCACAGTGTCCCCCTGCAACAGAGTACACTCCCCCCGCTGATCCTTCTCGCCAAAGGGAATCTCAATCAACCTGGCCAAAAAACATTAAATTAACATGCAGTAAACCATTTTCTTTCTCGCTAAAGACAGTGGTAAACCATTTTCTTACTGGTTAAAGGCAATCTACACCAGGGTCATTGCACTAAATTTCTCAGGGACTGGAACACTGGAAAGTGGGGATAGCTGCGAGCTGGCATAGAAAGATCATTAATACTATACAAGTGGCAGGAGATCCGCGGGCCACTTGCTAGGCATCTGCAGGCCAGTTGTGACCTACGGGCCATCAGTTGTATACCACTGACTATTACCTGATCGTCTTTGGTGTAGATACATACTACGCAGACCACAAGAAAAACAACCTTAATTTCCTACTGTCTTCTTGTTTTCTTCCCTCTTCTTATCCATTCTCATCCCCTCCCCCTCCCTCCCACCTCTCTTTCTCATTTTATATTTTCCTCTTCATCTCTCTCATACCCTAAAACCACTCTGTTACAGTAATATACAAAGCAGTTTCTTTCTTGCTAAGATAATCTCAGTCAACTTTACATTTTATAAAATTGTAATTTTTTTAAATACTTATAAACAACACCTTGCCTTAGAATCTGAAATAATCTGGCCATTCTGAAGGTGACAGTGGTTTAGTAAGAACAGTAAACAAGTGCATCTTTTTTTGGAAGAGGAAGGAGTTAACCCACATAGTGATGGATACAGGGAGTAGTGGGTCTATCTCCCCCACCCCCACTCCAAACGAAGCCCCGAACCAACACTAGGATTAACTTTACTACTGACAGAAACAAATAAACAGCCTACCCAACGGGTAGACTCAGAAACTAAACTGAGATTTCAGGCAACATGTGTCTCAAAGCATCAAAAGCCGGACAGAGGTGGATATTTCTTAGACAGACCTCAGTTGGAGTGATTTTGTGTATGCCTTTTTCTGTTTGTGACACTCTCTTTTCATGTCATCGCTGATGAAGGTTTTCTGGCAGCAACACTTACTTGCCATTCCTGATTGAGATAATGTGAAGCTGTACAGTTCTATTTGTTTTAACTTATATCCTTTCATGAGATTCCCACTAACCAATGGTGGCACCATGACACTAAAAAAAGAAGACAAATAGCCTACCCTTTGGGAGTTTCATACATGATCCTTCCCGCCAAAGCTTCACTGGGCCGTCTGTTGCTGACCTTAATTGTTTTCAGTACTTTCCCTCTCACCGGTTCCACAGCGATATCTTCAAAGATGACAGTTCCCTCTGGCAGTCGCTCGATTTCCACAGCCACCTCCTTATTCTGAGGAATAAATTCATTTTCCTATTTATTAATCTTCTGCATAAACAACTGTGGCTTAGGTATTGAGAATGCACTTCCCAATTCTGAAATACCACGTTTGACTCCTGTGATGTTATTTTTGCAGCAGATCCTTTGCATTAATAATCAAAAATGTTAAGCAGCGCCGACTATTCACAAGCAATGGCAAACTACTACATGAAAAACCAGACAGCCAACAAAATGCTGGGGCTGGTTCTGTAATGTCTTAAGGATAAACAACAAACATGCACATACCTTTTAACTTTGTTTAACCTTTTCACTCACCCACCCCTTCACACACGCGCACACTTATATAATATACTTTCCAGTTGTATATAGATATTTACCACAATGTGAGTCTTTCTACTGCTATATAGATATACACCTCCTTCATTACCCTTTTCACTTCTGTATAGATATACACCTCATTTATGAATTTTGCCCCTTCTATATAGATATACACCTCATTTATGAATCTTTCTAATTCTAGATAGATATACACCTCACTTATGAATCTTTCCACTTCTATATAGATATACACCTCATTTACGAATCTTTCCACTTCAACATAGACATATACCTCACTGTGATTGCATATTTCCACTTCTGTAAAGATATATGCCTCACTGTGACTGAATTGTTCCACTTTTATAAAGAAACAGATGGGAAAGGCAATAAGTGACAAAACAATAGGCAGGACAAGAAAAAAGCTGCTGGAGAAGCAAAGGGTTGGACAGCTGTAAAAAGTAAAAACCATTTTCCATGCATTCAGGTGTATTGGCCACATAGAGCTTGACCTATATTTTATACACCAATCGGCTCACAGTGGGTGACGTGGTCAACATCCCACCAGCAGCCTTTTTTTCACCTGGTACCCATGGTTGGGTTGACCTGGGAGGACAGCTTGACAGAGTTAATTTCACGGTTTTGCTCCCCAGGGAAGAGGGGGTGGGGGAGAAGAAAGAGAAAGAAGACTTAGTGTGACGAGTTCAAGTCATAACTTACATTTCTGATCTGCACGCCGAAGGAAACATCATCCCCGAGGATGAGCTCGCTGATGTCACCCTTAAACTCGCTGTAGTGGAAGAAGATCTCCTTCACGATGTCAGCCCGCTCAATAAAGCCAAACGTGTCCTTCATGGAACATACAACACCCACATACCGCTGGTTGGCTGATTCCAGAGATTCCACATTCCGAGCCCGGATCTTTCCATCTCTGTATGAACATACATATATAAAAACTAGTTTACTTTTGGACTGGAAAAAAATAATTGCAGAAGGTATGGTACCAGGAAGGAGGGGCAGGGGTTGATCAGTATGAAGATGGGAACAGGATATAAGTGACTCTTTGAATATGAAAGCCACGTTCTGCAAAGGACCTGCTACATGATGATAATGATATCACTTGTACAGTTCTACTTGCTACATGATGATAATATTATAACTTTAACAGTTCTACCTAAAAGTACAGTGTCACTTTTCTAGCTCTATATATAGAAAATGTAGTATGTAAAAAAAAAAGTGTCTCTTTTAAAGTTCTAGTGCCATCCATACACATAGTTTTACTGGGTGTTCTTCCACCTGTAGACATTAGCCTTGTTCCAGAACCTCAGTGTTGTGTGCACATCCATTTTACAGATCTGTGTTATTTGTATGCAGAGGGTTGGTTCCTTGCCTCTCAGGCAGATGCTCTCCAACTTTGAAGGAAGGCAGTGGGTCTATTTGTTTTCCCCACAAAGGGAGTATAAATATGTTTAATGTCACTTATTTACTTTTACATATAAAACTAGATCAATCCAAAAGCCACAGCGGTTGAGAAGCACATACCTGACAACTGTATACTGGACCTGAAGTACAGAGTTTGAATGCAATGATCAGAAAGTGAACAGTGACACGGCCAATGATTTTATATGTTACCAGCAAGATTTTCTTCTTCTTTAAAAAAAAAGCAGGAAGATTAAAAATGTAAAAAAACAAATATGGCATCGGTGGATACCAAGCATCTGCATTTCAAATGAAAGAGTGGATACCAGGATATTCTGGCCACAAACGCGATCGATATAGAAACACTCGTTCTGGACAAAGAAGACATTCTGATGACCATTTATGAACGAATGCTGGCAGAAGTCACTAAACTAGAAGAATGTAACATGTGTAGGAATGTGTGAACGAGGAATCAGACAAGGAGGGGAGGACGAAATGAAGAGAATGATGAGATTATTAATCAGTGTGCTAGAGAAACAGCATCTACACTTTAAGACATATGTTTTGGGAGACAGAGCACCTATGAGTTTGCCTGGTGTGCTATGATGCTGATTCTTAAATCAGTAAATCTTCGTCAACTTAATTAATAGCATTTTTTTCCAATGTATGACAAAAATATCACTTTTTTTTAATGTGTTTGTTTTTGTAAAGTTCTGCATTCATAGAATAGATTACACACAAAATTTGTCACTTGTAAACAATTTAGCATTGAAAAGTTAATACTAAAGACACCACCCCATGCACTTTTTTGAAGAAAAAAAAAAGTTTAAAAGTCAGTTTTCTCACAACTCTATATTTCTGTTTGTTGTGTGTAAAATCCTTAAATCTCAGCTAATATAAAAACTAGAAGCATGAAATTTGGTGTAGATACTCCATAAACAATATTATAGGGACAGGTCTATTTAAAAGTAGATTTCAGAAAGTTTTTGTTTTTTTTAAATTCAATTGTCATATGATGCCTCATTTTTTGACTATTTTCAACACTTCGTTTGTACACTTTAAAATTCTACCAAAAATATTCAGAAACATCTTTAAAGTAAATAAATTGCGCCTGTACCTCTACACAAGCTTATAAAGTTCATGAATCCATCATCTATTTCTAAATGCCTATGTTTTGATTTTAAAATAATTGGTCTAACACTGTAAATAAAAAAATTTTGTGTAGTGACCCCTTGGGATGACATCCTAAGGGGTCATTTGCGATGTTTCTTAGGTTTTGCCAAAGCTTAGCTGTTCAGTCTACTGTGTGTGGCCACATGTTGCTTCATAGATCCTCCAGTGAAGGAACAGTCTTGCAAGACATGTTCTGGGGTTTGTTCTGTGTGAAGACACTGGCAGCGAGCTGTTTGGCTCATACTTAATTTATCTGCATGTTTGTTGAGTCTGTAGTGTCCAGTGATTAGTGATTATTAGAAATGATTTAGGGCAGATATTCGTGAAGTGTTTAGTATTTTCAATCCATTCTTGCCTGATAAATCCAGCTTGGATTTCTTTAAGCATATTCATCGAGTCACTAAGAAAGCATACGTGTGTGAACTTTTGAGTACCAAGCCATGCTAAAGCACTTGTTACAGCCATAGTTTCCATTGTAAGGCTACTAGTTGTAACAGCAAAGGCGCCATTCATCTCCTTGATGGTTTTCCCCTTGAGCTTACTGTGAAGTGTCCAGTGCACAGTATAAGATGGTGACATGATCTGTTCTATATAGATGTTCAAGCAGCAACATTTCACACAACAGACATGAAACATAAACTGGCTTCCAATATCTTACCGTTTATCTGTGGCAATCTGAAACAGCACATCGTCTCCAGCCTTTGGGGCGGTGGATGTTCCCACTACGTCATCTAGCCCGTATGGCAAGAAGAAACACTCTCCGTTGTGAACGTATGTCACTCGACCCAAGCCATCCTGAGCAGCAGGTACAGTTCCCTATAAAAAAGAAGGCATCTGACAATGTGCCTAGGGTAACAGAATGGAGACAGAATGAGGAAAAACATTTATATACATCAGAAGTGTGCCTATGGTGATAATGTGAATGGTCAAATACTTAATGAAAGCAGAATAAGCAAACTCAAGTATGTATATATTTATATATATATATATATATATATATATATATATATATATATATATATATATATATATATATATATATATATATATATATATATATATATATATATATATATATATATATATATATATATATATATATATATATTATATATATATATATATATATATATATATATATATATATATATATATATATATATATATCAGAAGTGTGGCTATGGTGATAATGTGAATGATCAAATACTTCATGAAAGCAGAATAAGCAAACTCAAGTATCTATTTTTCAGAAGTGTGTCTATGGTGATAATGTGAATGGTCAAATACTTCATAAAAGCAGAATAAACAAACTCAAGTATATATATATATATATATATATCAGAAGTGTGCCTAATATGTTAATGTGAATGGTCAAATACTTCATGAAAGCAGAATAAGCAAACTCAAGTATCTATATATCAGAAGCGTGGCTATAGTGATAATGTGAATGATCAAATACTTCATGAAAGCAGAATAAGCAAACTCAAGTATCTATATATCAGAAGTGTGTCTATGGTGATAATGTGAATGGTCAAATACTTCATGGAAGCAGAATTAGCAAACTCGAGTATCTATATATCAGAAGTGTGTCTATGATGTTAATGTGAATGGCAGAGAACCACGGACACAGAATAAGCAAAAACAAGTATCGACATATAAGAAGTGTGTTTCTACGATATTCTTCTAAGCTTTCAATGGTTGTAAACTCTGGCAGAAAGTTCTGGCTGTTAGTCCATTTCTGGACTTTAGTCAGGTAAAAGAACAAGTGTTTTGCATGTGCATCAATTGTACAGATTATCTGGCTTCTCCATATGCAGACTGTTGGTTTCCACCTCTCAGGCAGCTGCATTCAAGCAAACAATTCTGGTTGTTCATACACTTCATGACCTTGGTTTTCTTCTAAAACTTGAGTTATACAGATCTGGCTTATCTGCATGCAGACTGTTGGTTCATCACCTCTTAGGTAGATCCACGCTGACTTTGAAGGAAACACCCCCAATGAGTCATTTTTTTTTTACAACAATGTTCGTTTTAGGGGCAGTGGGTCTATTTTTGTCTCACACCCCCAACTAAAGGGGCCATGGAACCCAAATGGAGAGAATATATCGCCAAGAGAAACATCGGTGCAAGTCAAACTTTACGGGTCGCTGAGTGAATTACAAAAGACAGTGAAGTTCAAACTAGAGACAACATTGCAGATATAAATAATCTATTTAAAGCGAACGAAACAAGGAAGAAGAAGAAGAAGAAGAAAATCCAATGAGAGCAACCCACTGAGAGCTTACATTTTTCTGTTTCAGCTGTTTAGCTTCTTGAACAATTGTACCCTGCACCTTCTCTTCACTGAGGATTTCTGGCAACAAGCCAGAGGGGTCAACCTTCACCACACCAACAGCTACTGGCTTGCCTGTCCGCCGGTCAAATGACATCTGGAACTCCACTGGCTCTGAAATAAATAAATAGGACTTTATTTGGATATCAAAGTTTTCAGCTGAGGAACATCTCCCCTAGCAACAAGAAGACAGAAATTTAATTGTTCTTTATTTACAATATACAAATGCATAACATGATCAGCGGCGTCCTTGGTTTGGGCGCTGCGAGTATGACTCATAATTCCAACGTACCCCGATCGAAACCCACTGCTGGCTGCGTGGATTTTTATCATTAGGCATGTCGACCCAGCCTAAAATGGGTACCAGGATGTATGTCCTGGGGAAGTAAAGACGGGCGGCGTAATGCTAGCCACATTACCCACCTGGTGCCGAATAGTCTGTAACCAACATGAGAACCTGCACAACACAACTACGCCATGGTGTAGTCTGTTGTACCACTCTGGGAATCCCTGCATACCTTTACCACGTTGACTTGTAATCTGGCACATCAGCCGAAATCCTGCACATATGTATCATTCTACATGGTATGTGGTGCATCATATTATAGAATGAAGTATCATTCTGGGAATTCTGACATATCTTTACCAGGCCATGGTAAAGTCTGGTGTGTCATTCTGGGAATTCTGGCACATCTGTACCAGGCCATGGCCTAGTTTGGTGCAAGGCTGGAAATTCCCACACAAGTCACCCTCCAACATGCACAAGTGCACCATTCTCAGACCCCGTGCATTCTTCTTCTTCTTCAAGTTCCCTGGCAGTAAACTCTGGCAGAAAGTTCTGGTTCTTCACCCACTACTAGACTTTATTCTTGTTCCATAACTTGAGTTTTGTGTGCACATCCATTTTACAGATCTGGTGTGTATGTGAATGTAGACTGTTGGTTCCTCAGCTCTCAGGCAGATATACTCTGACTTCAAAGAAAACACCCCCAATTAGGTGACTCTTACAACATGCTTGTGAGGGGTCAGTGCATCTATAGTTGTCCCCATAATGGGATCCTAGAGTCCCCACAGGGACCCTTGTGCATTCAACAAATAAGCCCCTGCTAACTGCCAAGCCCAATGCCTACTAAAACATCCCTTAATTACTTTACTCAACAACACTATGTAAGTATACATATATCCCACAGACATGCTAACCTCCAATTTTCAGCGTTTCCACATTGCCATTGTACTCAGAGTAGTGGAAGAATAGTCTGGCGTCTCGGTCACAGCACTGGATAAATCCATAGGAATGCTGGAAACACCAGAATTCCTCTTAAATGTTATCAATATTCTCTCTTTAGATCCACTACATCCATCTTCTAACTCCAGATTATCCAATCAACTTTCTACATCAAACTTCTCTCATAAACACCGACAATGTAACTGCCTTAAACCCCTTAGGACAACTTTATACATTAAAATTATTCCATTAAGACTTCATATCAATCTTTCACATCAGTTTTCAGACTCACCTTTTTAACACAATATTATTCTATCGCCTCCCAAATCTTCAACCTTAACACTATTATGTCAACCATTTATCTCAACATTGTTCATCAGTCTTCGTAACCCCTCCATTCCATTCCCCAAACTTTTACTTAATGTTCTCCCACTAACTTTCTACTCAACACTTCCCTGTCAAATGTTTTCCTTAACTTTGAACCTTTTATTCAACATTAAACTCAAACCCACAACTTTTTATTCAACATTCTCTAATACATTTGTTTGTCTCCACTGCGTTCCAGTCTTTTGTTTAACATGCTACTCAAAGCCCCCCACCAACTTTTTTTTACCCAACATTCTCCCAATGTTTAAATCAACATTCTACCACCAATTTCTTTCTCAAAATTCTATCAACCCAGATGACAACAGGTACCATCAGCACAGAAGCTCTTCGCTGGCTGTTGAGGAGGGATGCAGAACTAATACGGACTTGTCCTGAACGTTGTGATGTCAAATCTTTACCCAGATGACCCCACCAATTTCTTTTTCACAACCTTCTCCACTCTGACACCCGTAGCTTATTAAACATGTACAGGAAGTTTTACTTTACTCAGCAGACGACATACCTGCTTCTTGTCAATGAGGCCAGTCTCCCGGCCTCCCCTGGGAAAGCCAGGCACCATCTGTTGCAGGTCAGCATTGATGTTCATGTTCACCAGACTGGGATCCTGGTGGATGGCTAGAATGGCTGGATCTTGGACCGGCGGCTGGAATTTCTGCAACAGTTTGTTTATGTTTTAGACTGGTTATGTTCACTTCCTCTTTTTTTATTCCTCTCTTAGCCTGCAATGACTGTAAACTTTGGCAGAAAGTTCTTGTTGGTCGTCCACTTCTGGACTTTGGTCTTGTTCCAGAACTTAAGTTTTGCGTGCACATCAGCTTTACAGATCTAGCTCATGCAGTGTTAGTCCCTCACCTCTCAGGCAAACGCACTCCAACTTCAAAGGAAACACCCCTTACTGGTCGCCTTTAAAAACAAAGCTTGTTAGGGGGCAGTGGGTCTAAACCCACCCCCACACATGGGACCCCAGAATCAACACTAGGAGATGTCCATATTCAGTCAGCTCACACATACATTATTATTACAAGCTTCAGAAACCAACCTCTTCAACGATTCATATTTGCCATGTATCTGTTTGCTATGCATCTATTTGAAATGATTTTATTTGTCATGCATTTTTTCGCTAGGCATGTATTCGCCATGCATCTATTTGTTATGCATCTATTTCAGCGAAAGAAAGTTAAATGCATGTGAAAACAAATGACAGAGGAAACATCAGGTGAATTCGAGGAAATAAGAACAATAACTAGCCAACCGCTGGTATCAATAGTTATAAGACAAAGATAGTTCCATATCTGAAACATCGGGAGTGTTGCGTGCACATTCGTTTGGGTGACTGACTTATCTGTATGCAGACTGTTGGCTGTTTGCCTCTCAGGCAGATGAACTCTGACTTCAAATGATGCCCCCAGTTAGTCGAATCGCACGACATGCTTGTTGGCAAAACAGTGGGTCTGTTTCTGTCTTCCCCAGAATGATGTCAAAGGAGCGCAGTTATTTGTATCTGTATCAGACATGTGATGCAAGACCTATTTTTATAAACCAATCAGTACTCTGTAGGTGATGTGCTCAAAGTCATGCCAGATGCCTCTTACTTTCTATGACATTACCTAGTACCCATTCTGCATGGTTGACCCAGCAGCCATCTTCAATTCTGGGAAAAACCTGCCTTGGTGCAAGTTTAAACCAAAGACCTCCGGAGTGGGCAGTGAGTGTTTGGTCACTATGCGGTAGCTGGTCACTATGCGGTAGCGGCTCTCAACTAACTCTTTATTTGTGGGTCCCAAACAATACATTATGTGTGACGGGATATTTTTCACTGGAAAGCTGTTGCACAAGACTGATCTGGACGATATACAGTCCTCATACATGGTGCACAAGCCTGCCAGGCAGCAGAAGTTGCACTGGAAGAGAAATGGAGACAGACCAGACAATGTTTAGTGTGGGACTTAGAACTCTGACAGCATATTTGTTTCCTGCAAGGGTTGTATATTTAGCCCCTCTGGAAGTAGTATACCCATAAATGTAGTCTGCCATTAGTTAACTGCCTCCGACGTTAGCTAGAACTTTGTGTGACTGAAAGAATTCAAAAACCCACAAAAGCACACTAAGCAACAAACATAACTGCCTGTGTCAAAGGTCATGCTTACGGTATCACTGTTTCCTTTAGACTCATGCATGACTATAAAAAATTAGATTTACTGCCACTTTGGCCTCAACTGAAACATTACCATAATGACTTGCTATTTATTAATCACATACCCGTTAGCTGAAAAACATACAGCATATGGTGAATTAAAAAAATATAAAAAATTTGCTTTTGTAAAATGATTTATCAAGGATTGTGCATACTGTACTATAATGTTAATGAAACCTTTAAGTCTGTCCAAATAATTGAGGATACTGGGTTCTCTTAACCCTTTCACTCTGTGAACACTAAGGAATGGGTTAGGAAAACCCATGAAAAAGATCCTTTAAAAAAAAAAAACACACATTTTATACCAGACACTGATAAATATTTTTTTTAAATATTATTTATCTTCATTCTGTAAACATTTTTTTTTTTTTTCATTTTCATATTTAAACAACCCTGAGAAACTTTTTTTTTCAAAACAGACACTGGATCCCAGGTCGGCCCAGTCTGAAAATTGGTACCAGGTAAAGTCATGGGAAGTAAAGGTGACCAGTGTGATGGTGACCATATAATTCATCGAGGGCCAATTAGTCTGTAAAAAATATTATTCCAGCATCATGAAAAGGGTCCTTTACTTTACAGATGACTGTCAGTATAGCTAACACTTCCTGATTCTCTTTCAACAGGTAGATAATCTGGCAAGACACAGAGCCATTTGGGATAAAACCTGGAGCAACTGAGTCAAAGCTTAAAGGTCTTCTTCTTTTTCATGTTCGTTCAAGTGACGTAACTGTGTTGTGCCTGTTTACAGCATAGCTGCGATATTTGCGTCTTTCGGCCGACATATCAGACTTCATAGGGCTTTTGTTTATCAGAACCAAAGGTCTGATGTATGTGACCTGATTTTTATCCGACATACCAGCTTGCCAAATTGGGTGTTTATTTTTTTTTTAATATAATTATATTGAAGCTCAAAATTTTTTAATTTTACAAACAGCATTTTATAATTACGTTAACTTTGTTATAAACTATCTAAGGCAGAATCTATCAACCAAAACTGACACCACAGCTACTGGACATTCTTTCATTCGGTTTCTCGTTTTAAAAAAAAATATAAAAAGGAAAAGAGTATGGATTTCTAGACCTAGCTAGTTGCTTGTATATAACTTTGCTTTATCCTTAACCATGACTGTTCCTATTAGTGAGAAACTGGATTCCTGATTTACATATAAATAAATTCTAAACCCTATCATAAAAAGGTATGATGGGAGGCAACTTCAAATATGTGCAATAAATCAAATATTAAGCTACCATTTACATAGAGTGAAATGGCAGAGAAATTACCAAATGTTTCTGTGCATAAAACCACCCCTATTTTTTAGAATACATAAAATTTTTAAAAAATATTTAAATCACATTTGTGTATTTACCCCCCGCTCTCCTTTTTCCACAATTTTAAACAAATTTGGGAAAACATATTGTCTTATACACAGAAAATACGGTATATAAGGAGAATTTTAAAAAAAACGTAAATCTTACATTGTTTTTGCAGTACCAGTTTCAACACTTACCTTCCACTGAGGGCTTGGTTTCTTTACCGACATCGAAGATAGCGAACTTTTAAACAATGTAAATCAATTTTGTTTTCAACTGAATACGCTTAATAAATGAAACTATGACTTCAGACTAGAGGTGGGGCCAGCTGAGTGGGCACCTAACAAGTACAGAAGTCTCCTGCAGCTAAACTTGACAATGCAGCTTGAAATGTCGAATGGTTTCCTAGTTTTGTTACTCTAGTCCTTAGATAAGCAGTGGGTGTTGAGATCTTGAACAACGGGCACTAGCGTCATTGGTGAAAATTGTCCCTGTAACTTGCTTTTTACAAAATTTCTGATGCAGTGAAATACTTGAACCGAAAGTCTAGAAGAATTTAAAGAGTGCTGGGGAAACAAGATGGAACAGAATATAAATTTACAGTAAACTGGACATATAAATATAATGCAAGCAACACTATCATTATCATGTGCCTCGACAAATGATGTCTGGAATAACGCCCATCTATAACCTGTGATCAACATCATTTATCAGTTCTTTTTCTTCTGTGTTCACCAGCTGTAAGCTTTGGCACAAAGTCCTGACAGTTTGTCCATCTGGACTTTGGCTTTGCTAAAGGGCTTGAGTTTTGCATATGTTTTATTGGCTTATTTGTGTGCTTTTCCTTCAAAACAATAACATCTCTTTCTCCTCCTCCCTACTTAGCACCATCTTAGTAGGCCCTCTTCTCAGCAAGGTAAGTCAGGTTATATTTTTGTTTATTTCATAAAAATCCTTTTGTATTTATGTATTTTAGCACTAAGCAACGTTTAATTTATTTTATACAATCGCATTATTCTATAATATGCCAATAACAATAGATATTTTTTCATGCGAACAGATTAATCATTTTTCCATTATTTCTTACGAAAAAATTCATTTGGTATTAGTCCAAGGATCCGGAATGAATTAAGGGCATATAGTGAAGTACCTACCACTGTAGTTATCTTGTATCATGTTTAGTCAATCTTACTACTAGGGATACAGGTAACCTTTTTTTTTGTCTACCCTGATGAGACAATGACTCGGGCCCAATCCTCAAAGAATGAAAGATTTTTCTGTAACCCATACGGCTTCCTACATGCTTCAGTACCACGTAAAGCTATCATATTAATGTCAGATTCATCATTACCCACTAACTCCTAATTCTGAACAGACCTGATGATTTCTGCTCTGTCAATGCTTTTTTGCTCACATGCAATGTTTGCCAGTTGCTCTGCTTTTTCACTACCATTAACACCAGCACACCCAGGTGCATAATAATTTTCCTCAATTTTTCTGGATATGACCGATGGCAAGGAAGGAATGCAGACACGCCACCATATGTGGCAAAGCCTAGAATGTGTGAATGTTTAACACTTCACTTGCTGTATCTGTCATGCGACTACCTTGACTATAGGGTACTTAATCTGTCCCTTTCTGCCATGGGGTCTCAGAAGCAACGCATAAACACTTCTTCTTGAGGCCCTGTTAGGGTATGTTTTTAACTTTCATAATTTATGCCTGTTATTCAGAAGAGTGGCTGAAAAAGCAATACATAATCCGAAGTATAACACACTTTTTTCTACCAAACTAGAATTGGAACTATGCTATCTAACAAAAACATGACATGAGCATTTGTATTTTAAAACATGACAAACTCCAGATATGGGCTTTAAATTTGAAATAATTTAGCAAAAAAACTAACACACTTCTTACAATTCTTTTTCTTCTTCTTCGCGTTCACCAGCTGTAAACTCCGGCGGACAAGTTCTGGTTGTTCGTCCACTTCTGGACTGCAGTCCTGTTACAGAACCTGAGTGTTGCGTGTGCATCCATTTTACAGATCTGACTCATCGGCATGCAGACTGCTGGTTCCCTGCCTCTCAGGCAGATGCACTCTGACTTCGAAGGAAGCTCCCAATTAGTCGACTCTTACGACATGCTTTTGGGTAGGCAGTGGGTCTATTCTTGTTTTCCCTATAATAGAGCCCCGGAACCCACATGGATAACTTCTTACAATAAACTAAATGGTCTCTGCCCAATCCCAAGGATATGTAGTAATTAAATACTATTATAATAATTATTGGCTAAAGTTAGTGGGTCTGAAGTTTACAAACTTGTATAACTGACTAGGTACCAGAGGTTTCAGCTCTCCTTCGAACCTCTACCCATATTATGGCGGCCAAACAAATACCCTTACAGGGCCTCAGTCGTGTGTAAAATGCAGACTTCCTCCGACGAACACATCGCGGCAAAACTAGGATTACTTGATAATGTCACGACACGCAACACTGCAGACGATAGTAGCAGATGATAATAGCGACCGTTGACAATTCTGAGCATTTCTGCAGATGATACTAACGACCGTTGACAATTTTGAGCGTTTCTGCAGATGATACTAGTGACCAATGACAATTTCGAGACACGCAACATTACAGACAATGATATGGAGATGGCCTGTTGACCATGCGCTCCGACGCAGATTAGCGATAGTGTTCTTCCAATTTAACTCAACGCCGAGCGTTTCCCATGCGCCACTACACGCGGATGGGGATCTAAACTTGATGCCTGGGACTCATGAGGAAATAAATTGGAGGAAGTTGCAGGAGATGCAGTAGCTGCTGCTCGTCGTCCTCGATATCTAGTTTAGCCCCAGTCCGTGACACGTGTAGCGGCGCGGGGATACTGTCGGCGGTGTGACAATCGCAGAAACAGGCCCGCAATTAACATATCGCTGAGACCTTGTTAGAGCATTTGTTTTTTTATTCGGAGCCGCTCCTAGTTTTGCAGCAATTTGTTCCTCAGCAGGAACTCGGCATTCTGCATAGGACTAAGGCCCTGTTAAAATATTTGTTTGGCCAACATAATATGGGGTAGAAGTTCGAAGGAGAGTCCAAATTTCTCAGTTCTGTAAAGAACAACTAGCCAGGAAGTCTGATGATCCTTCTATATTGTCATTATTGTCATTATATACCTTGCCTTGGCACTAATATTATAATTAATGATGTACAAAAGTGTAGTAGCAGCGAAGTGTAGCAAAGTTGTTAACATTTCATACCTTTTACTAGTTGTACTAATTACTACAAAAAACAAATGTGCCTTGGCATTAGCTTTGATGCTACAGTATAAATGACTAAGTGTACTCAGCAGGTCAAGCAGCTCAGGGTAATTGCACCCTCTCCCCCCCCCCCTCCCTCTTTGCGTGCAAAAAAAGTCATGCTCAAGTCACAGTCAACGCAACAGGCTACAAACAACGAAAATAAAATATGTGTGAAAAGTCAATTAGTCAATTACTAACATTTTTAACGTAACTGACCTCTAACTATAAGTACTTGCTTATCCACGGCATAATCATTTTAGATTTTTCATCCCATTTGGAAACCGTCACTTAATAATTGTCACCATTATCTCAAAGCCTGAGAGCAGAAAGTCCTAAACTGTCAAACAGTAACTTCGGACACTGAAAACTGAGACAGCTGAAACAACGTAATTTGATAAGGCTAAGAGTAAGAAGAGAACGGACGTCGCAGGCGCCATGGCCTCTTCAGCTTTTTTCTCCGAATAGTCATTTGTACATGAATTCCTAATAGGCATAGTTCCACAGTAAGTTACTAATTATCTTATTCAACAATGCATTAATAATAAATAAACAGAACAACTGGAGGAAATCGCAAAGAACTTCTTACCCCACACTGCACTTCACTGCAGGGATGCCGCCATCTTAGATATCGATTTTAGTTGCCAGATTTTACTTCGGCCTCGACAGATTTCATTTTTTGGCAGAATGTTTCTGTATCTGTATAAAACTCTTTCTTCTTCTTCTTCTTGTCCCCGCTTATTCTCTTTTCTTCTTCTCACATCCTCTCCTTCCTCTTTTTTCTTCTCTCTTCATTTTCCATCTGTATTTTCTCCACTGCCTCCCTAACAAGCATGCCGTACAAAGAGACTGAATATGGCTGTTTCCTTCTAAGTCGGAATTGCATCTGCATGAGGGACGAGAAACCAACAATCTGCATACAAATAAGCCGGATATGTAAAAGAGATGTGCAGGCAGAATTCAAGTTCTCGACAAGACCAAAATCAAGAAGTGGACGAACGTTATTAAACTATGTGTGTGTCCTTCTCCTCTTTCTTCTTCTTTTATTTCTATCCTCCTTCTCCTCTTTCTTCTCCCGTTACCTATTGTCAGGGTCAAACAAACAAAAAAGGTTTAAGGAAAGCAATATTTGAAACAAAAATACAGATTACATAATTAGCTTGCTTAAACAATTAAACGATATACAAAATAACACAGTACAGACCACTTAAGGCAATTTCTTATGTGGCGAATTTTCTGTGTGAAGAACAATCTGCTTATTTCCTCACAAATATTCTTGCTTCAATTCCTATCTCAAACTTCTTTTTCAGCGATCTCTGGTCATGCTCATAATCCACTGTGGGCCAAAAACTTTTCAAGGTCTCTTAGGTTTCCCCAAAGCTTAGTTGTCAGTTCTACTGGGTTTTGTCATTTGTTGCTCCTCAGCTCCGCCAAGAGAGGACAGTCTTGCAGGACATGTTCTGGAGTCTGTTCAGCACGAAGACACTGGCAGAGAGCTGTTTGGCTTATCATCATTATCTGGTGCCTTGCTGACTGGAGAGGGCGATCATTGCCTCTCCATAATCTGCGATCTCCTGCAGCATGTATCAGTTCGTGAGCCGACACACCTTCATGCCATGCAAAAAGACTGTCAAGCATCTAGCATAATCTATACCTAATTTATATGAATGTTTATTGAGTCTGCAGTATCCAGTACGTAAGCGAAAAACTGTGACTAGGTCTGTTCTGTTCAAGTGTTTCAGAAAATCTTTTTTCGTAGATATAGCCAGTGTTGGTTTTCGAAACTGTTTCTGATTTCACTTAATGAGAGTTTTGACTTGTGGAAAAGATAGTGGCTGGTAGGTTTGTAGTTTGTTACTGCCTTCCTTGGCTAAAGCATCAGCGCTTTTATTGCCTTTGATGCCACAGTGAGATGGAATCCACTGCAAGTTA